AGTGACTTTTTCGGGCAGTGACTTTTCGGTGTAGTGACTTTTCGGGGTAGTGACTTTCGGGGGTAGTGACTTTCGGGTAGTGACTTTTCGGGGTAGTGACTTTTTCGGTGTAGTGACTTTCGGTGTAGTGACCTCTCGGGTGAGTGACTTTCGGGGTAGTGACTTTTCGGGGTAGTGACTTTTCGGTGTAGTGACTTTTCGGTGTAGTGACTTTCGGGGTAGTGACTTTCGGGGTAGTGACTTTTCGGGGTAGTGACTTTTCGGTGTAGTGACTTTCGGTGTAGTGACTTTCGGGGTAGTGACTTTCGGGGTAGTGACTTTTCGGGGTAGTGACTTTTCGGTGTAGTGACTTTCGGGGTAGTGACTTTCGGGGTAGTGACTTTCGGGGTAGTGACTTTTCGGGGTAGTGACTTTCGGGGTAGTGACTTTCGGGGTAGTGACTTTCGGGGTAGTGACTTTCGGGGTAGTGACTTTTCGGGGTAGTGGCCGGACGCCCTTGCAAGGAATTACGACATGTAATCGCCGCGCACTCCAACTCACTTTGCCCGGAGAACATTTCGGTTTTATTCAAATATTTCACGTTTTTTGCGCAACGAAATCACTTCTCAGGTCCTTCTCGGCAGTGACCCTTTCGTTTTTGACCAGTCGGTTCAATCCCCGCAAGCACCAATTTTGACTTCCGAGCGCTTTTAAAGATCCTTAGTGGCGACCCATCGACCTTTCTGTGCCTACCCATAACGGCGGGATTCAAATTGATGCCTTGGGGCAGTTTTTGTGGGTATATAATGAGGAGCTCTGCGCTCAACAGTCAGTTCAGTCAATCCCCCCTATACCCCCGGCTCGCTCACGTAACGTTAATGCGGCTCGATCTCACCCTCGCGCTGCTCGTGGCCACAACATCAGCATACACGCTGGTTCAGACGGAGCACCAGCCTCGCAAGTTCTATATCATTGCTGGCGACGAATACGCGGAAGTCAGCTACGAGAAAGCCTACATTGTCCAGTAAGTACCGTATCTCGGGTAATATAGTTCAGAGGCCCGTTTTTTAATCATTCTGAAGGGGATAGTATCCGAGGAAGGGCTAAAATCCTACTATATATAAAAAATAGTGTTTGTGTGTGTGTGTGTATATTTGCATGCAACTTCCGTGAGTATGTATCGCACCTACAGCCTCAGGGGAAGGTTTTTAAGGGTCGCATGATACGTCATTAGGTGCGTAATGGCGCCGAGATGAGTGCACACACATAAAAGTTCGGAAAAATTACTGTTTTCGCTATTAAAATTGAGTTTTTGTAAAGATATCGAAAAACCTCTTTGTTAGGAGGCAATTTGCATGCGCCGGAAGTGGGGTAAGCCTATATAAGGGCGCAGAAGGGGGTTCTTTTGATTTTTTTGCGATCAAGTTCCTGGAAGAATATGCATATTTTTGACTACCATGTGCTTTAGACGGGGCCAGGGTTGAAAAGCCGCGAAGCGGTTTTCAACCCTGGTCTAAAAATAAAATAGCTTAATTTTCTGCAATTTAAACAATTTATGCGCTCCACACTACTCCAAATTACTCTAGCGCGCCGTGAAAGGCTACCGGGAAAGCGTTTTTCAAAATTTTTGACGTTTAAAGGTAATTATAAAAAATTTCCCGGATTTCTTTTAAGCGCCAAATGACTGGGCTGGTTTTCAGCAGAGTGCTGCTAGGTGGCACTCCGGCCCATGGTCGCGACGCAGAATGGACACCGACGTTGGAAAACTTACGGGTCGGTTTTGCCATCAAAGAGAGCGATAAATTTTGAGTGAATCCTTTCTTTAAAAAGGATTCTGTGCGCGTTAATCGTGGCTAAAATTACTATGCAACATTTTTACTAACGTTTCTTCGTAATTCATTTTTTTCGAATCAACACCCAAAAATTTGAATTATCCGCCGGCTTGGGCGGAATGGATTTCCGCAAAATGCAATTGCTACAAAGGGAAATTTCGAAAAAGAGTTTCGACAAGCCGGTAGCAACGTTTCTGCTTCCTCTTGCTTCTGAGAATTTAAATTTTACAATTTTTGACTTTCCCAAGCTTGCCCAAATCTTCGAGCAAGCCTCAGCGTTTTATAACGGTAAACATTTACTGAAACCAAGGCATTTTCTCAAAAAAGACGTCTTCAGAAACTCGAAGACCCGGGTCAGAAGAATGGGACTCTCGAGTTCATGGTCCTGAAGGCAAATCCGAACAGATATTTTGTGTTTGACGCACCGCAATTTGCGGAGATCGACCAGGAGAAATATGTGACGCTTAGGTAAGTTTGCCACTTACAATTAATGATAATAGGGGAGAAACTTATGATAGCATAGTACCTTTCCCTTCCAGCGCCTTCACCGCAAACCAAATCATCCATTTTGTTGACGAGAATTGGAATCAAATTTCCTACAAATATGAGGTAACGTGGCTTTTCGGTGATCGTTATTGTCGTTTCGGGAAAAATAAAATTTTTGAGATTTTCGATATTTTTAAAACGCGAATCGATTGAACACCAAAAAAATATACTAATAAATTTGTTAGGACGCGGAAAATTGTTATAAAAGTTTTATAGCCTAAAAACTATCTTTGAAAACTATGGGCAGAACATAGGATACCGGGGGGAGGGGGGACTATTTTTTGTGTTTCGAACATTTTCGATATTTTGAAATGCCATTTGATCTGTATTAAGAGCTTACTTTGCAGCCCGAAAGAACCATATTTAAAAAATGCCATGCCATGTTTTGAAAATTCAAAATTCTGAAAATGGCGATTATGCTTTTTGAGATTACGAATACTCAAGTTTCTAACTAAACCTCGAAATTCCGAAAATTTGACATTCTATGCCCGTTCCTTTAAGGTCCTAAATACAAAAAAAAACTAATCCAATGTTCAGCGACTGGTAGTGCGCGGAGCCATCGAAGACCTACTACGTAAGCCGGAAAGTAAAAAACCAGAAGAAACAAGCAAAGTAAGGGCTTTTTACATTTTAGGCGACTGAGTCGTAAGCTTCCAGATCTTACCGGGTTTCCGGTTAAAATCAGAGCCATGCTAACTAGGTTGTTTAGAACGGCAACGAAGCTTCCAACGAATCCAATAAAGCCCCAGAAGCGCAAAAAGAAGAACAAGAAGCTTTTGTCATGATTGCCAAAGTTTATTTGACGATCATCCTACTTCTTCTTGGCTGTGTTCTATTCATGGCTGTGTTGGAAGTAAGCCGGGTGGCTTGGAATTTCTTGGCTCCCCTGAGAAAACGAGCCTCTAAACTATTTTCTTAACCGTCTCAGCGATCTTCAAGCGGAAATAAATTTTTTCTCTGGAAGCCCGATCCCTGTTACAACGAAAATTCGACGTCTTGTCAGATTCCGTCAACAGACTTTTTTTAAGCGACCGCCAGAATTAGCACAAAGAGATTCTCGCGAAAAACGGTACTGGTGAGTTAACGGGGGAGGGGCGGACTTTTAGCAGGGGGAATCTAATTTCCCTTTTTTGGCCTACAGACAGTTTATAGCCGTTTTTTTAAATAGCATTTTCCATGGCTTTCAGCTATAAAGAGCCCATAAATACCGTATAAAAGTCCATTAGTTGCAACAATTTTTGTAATCATTTTGGCTTTTTTGGTCAAAAATGTATGAAAAATGTCAAAAGAAGGCCAAAATTTTCGAAATACCGACTTTCAAATTTAACTTGAAACGAATTTCAAGGTGCGGCCGACGAGACGCTTTTGAATGTCCACGGAGGTTCCAAACCTAACCCAGTTTAAAAATGGGCAGCATCTGCAAAACGATCACGATAAGAATGGGCTAGCGAATAATTTTCACTTGATGTTAAGGGGGGTCCAACTCCACGGAAACCCTATGGAAAATCGACAATTAAGTTTATTTTTGTTAGAACTCGAGAATTACTGTAGCTACGGGGCTATAAGTCAGGATTCTGGTTATTTAAGGCCTGGTACACCTCTCATCCAATTTTGGGACCGATTGGGTGTAACACGGCGAAATTCCAGATGGTTCGTTTGGTGTCACTGCACTTGGGGGGGCAGTCCGGATTTTGACTACAAGACGCTCCAAATGCTCTTTTTTTAAACTCGCTGCCTCTGGAGTCCAGAGGTCCAGTCCGGGGTCTGGACCATCATGGACCCCGGTCTTCGCAACCCCTATTTCCAACCATTTTCTCGTTCTCAACGACGAGTTTCAGTTGGATCTATCCCCCAAAGAGCCAACATTCCAATTTCAGGAGCCGGGTTTACTCGCCATGTTCCAGCCTCCCCCTCCCCTTCATCTCCTGATAACCGTAACGTCGTGGGGGTGAGAATTGATTACTCTTCACTCCCACCAGCCGAGGCGCGATAACGTGGCAAAATTTACGATAGCGCAGCGTAGAAGGGCTACCGTGCGGATTCGGCTTCTTCTGCTAGAGGGAACCCCCCGGTAGAACGGCCAGGAATAGAAAAACTATGCTTCGCTACGTCCTACTCGCCGTATTTGTCGGTGAGCATCTTTCTGGTGTTATATTTATACGAATTAGCTGGTTTTAACTTTTAAGCGGTAGTTTTTAAAGCGGCTGATGCCGCTACCGAGTGCATTTGAGGTTTATGCTGCTGATTTTCGTTCTAATTAGTTTATTTTAACTTCGTTTTTACGCTTGTGACCCATGTCAGCGCGTCAAAGCGGCATTTTATCACGCGCGTGCAGACTGTGGATATTGCTACAAATAATCGTATCTTAGAATTTATTATTGTTATTTTTATTGCCCCCTAGGCGTCCTCCACGCCGATGTGTGCAAGCAACCACAGGGCCGCATTTGCGAGGTGGACGTCTACAACTGCTGCGACAACAACTTTGGCATGGCGCTGAACTTGACCAAGTGCAATGGTAAGCTGGAACTAACAAGGGGGTTCTTCTCCACGCCACATCGAATTTTACGTTCCTAAAGCGACTCATTTTGTAGAGATCGAAGAGCCGAATCGATTGGTGCAACTTTTAGCAAGGGATACTTGAAAACAAACAAAGTTATAACATTGAAAAGTTGATTACCAAGCCCTAGCGATACCGATCCCTCATGGAATTTATTTTTGCTTTTCGTACGAAGCTTTCTCGCTTATGATCCTGAATTCCGTGAACAACTTTATCCCTGATTTTACACCAGGAAGTACTCGCAGCAATAGTGCGGCTTCGGGAGAAATTGACATTTTTTAAAGAAGCCGCTCAACCTTTTTTAGGTAATCTCTGGGATCGTGTCAACTGCTATCGTGCCGAGATTGAGAACATGTTCGGTACCTCTGTGGACGGAGGCCTTACCGTTTGCAGGTATTTTTTTGGAACTAGCTATGGTGTAAGAGGCTTGATCTTACCGGTAAGTCCAAAATCGCAAAACTGGAGCATTTTGCCTGTAACGTTTAAAACCTTTAAAACCGTTTTTAAAAATCTACTTTTTCAGCGCATGGTCCGACTGGATGAAATGCCTCGGCCGCACCCTTCAGGATTGCGAAAGTGTCAAGGTTTCGACGTCTAGAAGTTTTTTCTCAAGCTTTCCGTTCAGTTCCACGTCATGCAGGGCGCCAACTCCGGTCAGGCTATCAACATTTTCACCGTGTACTCGCAGATCTCTTTCCTTTGCGGCCCCGGGCTTGACAGTAGGTTTTTTACCGTTTACTTGAACTAAATAATTGATTAATGGTTCGTTTTTATGGCTACAAAACTACCTAAACTCTTCCGACAGCTCTGATGGTATTACTGCATCAAAAAAGCTTATTCATCCTTTTGCACCAGAAAATTGGCTCTTTGACGACTCGCGCAGCACATCGAGGTTTTTAGCATACGTTAACAACGACGGGACGATCCGAAACGTTTTTATCAACTATGCCACCCAGCTGCAACGTTGCCGGGACACCTTCTCGAACAACGTCAACACAAACTGGGAAAACCGTTGCGCGTGAGTTTCGCAAAAAGCGCCTAAAGTTGTGACCACGTCAGTCTAGCGTTTAGAGTTTTTTGGCCACGAGCACGTTTTCAGAAGTTGCAATAAATACGTCGCGTAAAACTTACATGTAGCCAGTTTCCGGAGCTTCCTGTGCGAACGAGCTAGCTATGATAAAGCAGGGCTGCCGGCTACCAATCCGAGCAGCTACCGCCTACGGCAAGAACGCAATACTTTTTAGCGACTTCCGAGAGTTGATCGGCTGCTACCAATTGCCCTTCCAAACCGGGGCCGGCATCGAGGGCGGCTGGTGGGGCTGTGAATACGAGCGTTCGGGGGGTGACCGCCTGGTTGCCCAGTGCTCCGAACAGTGTACCGGTTGGTGTTTCGCTCAGTTTTTGGTTGATAGTTGTTAAAAGTGGTAGCTAGCACATATCGTCAAATTTCGATCTTATTCCGATACTTTGCGGCGTGGAAACGCCGGCCAGCACCAGAGTTTATCCCGTTTTTGTCGCGAAAAACAGCTGGTTTGTCACGACATGCGCGCTGATTTCACAATTTCTAACCCTCAAATCTCCCACGCCCATCCCTCCCTCGTAGTTTTTGCCCGCGTCCCGCCTTGATTCAGACATCCACAAAACATCATCATTTTCCCCAGCAAAAAACGCCCTCAATATTCTGACCTTCCACTTCCAAAGGTGTGGCCGGTGTTACAATGCCAGCGTAGCGGCAGCCGCCCCCTTCTCACGTCTTATCACGCAGCGGGCCCGCCCAGCTCCTCGGCTAGCTACTGTTTTTCACAAATTCTCTCGTTTTTGGGCGCAATTTTGGCGGGGCTTTCCCGTGGGCTGGCAAACGTCTTCTGAATCATAACTGGGAACTGTGATGTCAGCCTGGGGCAACTGTAAATCTGGGCTGGTTAGGGAGCCTTTTCGAGTTTTGCGCTGTGATATAGCTCGACAGAGAGCGATGGAGCTTGAAATTCCGAACGAATCCCATCTTTCAAAAAGCACTTTTCGATAAGGTCTTCGAGTAAAAGATTCTCAAAGATCAAATTTTGTTAGAAAAATGGGCAAAATGGGCGCTTCCGAAGCGAATTTTCTCCAAAACCCTATCCTGCTTTTTTTGAAAGATGGGCTTTGTCCAGAATTAAAGCTCTATGGAATTAGCTATGTGCCATCTCAAGCTCCCAACAACTCCAAGGATCGCTCGAAAATTCAGAAATTTACCTAAAAAATTGGTTCCATCACGTGATCACCAAGTTCGCCTAAAATTACGATACCTCTAAAGGTATCTTGGCTCCCTGTCCTGTTTAGACAATTGTCTACAGTCTAAAGTATAGCAAATGGTCGGTTTGGCCTGGCGAGTGTCTTGGTATACCTTACTGCCCGGTAGGACAACGTTTAGCAAAGATCCATTATGTAAACGGCACCGCAGCCACCCTAAATTCACAAATTTACCGGAAATCCACTTTCCAACGCCTTTTCCAGCCACCAACAACAACATCCGAGCGGCTGAAGAGTTGCCGCAATAAGTTCACGCTTTCCGCACCGAGTTTTCCTGGCCGCAATAAATTCTTTAATTTGTACTTTTTACGGGTTATCGCTGCTTTATTATGTGGACATGTACACAAATGATCAAACGATGATGCGTAGTGGTGGGCGGGGGGGGGGGAATCGGGGAGCAATTGATATTCTGAACAAGTTAGGGGGCACCCGGGCGGGGAAATGCTATATCACAGCTCGATGAAGGCAACGGGGCGGGGAAGAGCGGTGGATACGTTGGCTACATTATTAGAGAGGTACGGGGGTACTACTGGCCGAAATACGTCCAGTCTAAAAAAGAGGGAAGGACAAAAATCAGGGCACCGCGGTTTATACTCGATATGAGATTCGAATCACAGATCATTGAGGGGGCGGGGAAGCAAAAACAAATCTCGACAATGGGGATGAGCGACGGGAAAGACGAGTTCAGGTTGTCCCAAAAAAAACCTCCAGTCTATCTCGACAGAGTCGACGGATCGGAATGGCAGTTACACCATTCGAAAGCCCGGAAAACGGCCGGTTTGCAAAAATTTACATACCGTATTTTATTACCTAAACGCGCAACACTACAACGCGTTTTGCTAAAAATTTAACTGGTTTTCCGGCTCGCTAACGAGTTAATTTGCCCTAGCTGGAGCAAGCAAAAAGGTGGGAAGCTGCCCTTTTCGACACAAAAACGCAAAAGCGCCTCCTTCATCTTTTTCAAATCTATAAAACAGCGCGCTTAAATAAAAAAATCGCAATGAAGCCGTTTGCAAACACGCCGTCGTTTCGGGGGCTTTCGAATGGTGTAACCATTATTCCAATACGACCCTTCTCCGTCAAGACAGAGAGGGGATTTTTTTGGTAAACCTGTACACATGGGGACGAGCTTCATTAGACGAGCATCTCGTCGGACTCGCTGCGGCTCGCGTGGGTGTTCAGCGGCTGGAAGCCGATCTCGAGCTCGCCGTTCTGGTCGAGGATGATGGGCGGGTGGGCCGAGGGGAGCAGCACGTGGCGCAGGAACGTCCGGTTGCGCCGCAGCCCGAGGAAGTTGCGCCAGTTCTCGACGAAGCCGTGGTGGTAGGGGTTGCGGTAGCCGGTAGGACGGCCGTCCCAGCCTTTCTGAAAAACACGGTTTGCCATGGAACCACACAAATAATCGCTGCAAGCGCGTTTTGGAGAAAGGTTCTATTGCATTATCGGGGGCAGGGAGCGGCGATTTTTTCTAAGGATTTTTCTGATATAATACAGCGGAAGTGCTTCTGAACTGTTTTTCATTAAATTCAAGCGTAAAACTTCAAAAAACTTGATGAAAAAATACAAAAATATAAATTTTCTGGACTAAAGTTGGTTCTTATGCTTTTTGTTTTTTTTCCGCTTCAAATCTACTTAAATTTTATTAAAAAACCCTATCCTACTATATATAAAAAAATAGTGTCTGTGTGTTTGTGTGTGTGTGTGTGCCACTTTGCATGCAACTTCCGTCAGGGTGTCCGGAGGATATCTCGAGAGGGAAAGGGTTTTAAGCAACGTATGATACGTCATTAGGTGCGTAATGGCGCTGAGATGCCTGCACACACATCAGATGTTGCAAATTATGCTATTTTCGACGTTAAAACGAAGTTTTGTTCGAAAATTCAGCACCCACTTTGTTAGGAATCAATTAGGATATGCCGGAAATGGCGCGAGCCTATATAATGGGCGGAGGGAGAGATTTTCATTTTTTTCGTCATCGGAATTCGCGAGAATTATGCAAAATGAAGCATATTATGACGCGAGACGGGGGCCAGGGTTGAAAAAGACGCGAAGCGGCTTTTCAACCCTGGTCAGAAATATAAAATACTAGACATTTCTCGACATCGGAAGGATCTCCCAGATATTGCAAAAGCACCCGGAGGGCAATAAACAAGAGGCCCTCGAAAAAGCGCCCGCCGAGTTGTTGCTCTGTATTGAAAAATGTGTGTAATCACCTCTTCAATTAGGAAGCGACACTTGCCGAACTTGGAAAACTGGAAAAGATGATGTGAATTGTGAAAAGGTGGAAAATTGATACCAAGTAGTCGACGTAGGTGAAGCCCTTGGAGATGAGATAAACGTTCCACAACGCCAGCCCGCCGACGAGCAGAAAGAGCAGGAAGGACAGCATGTAGCAGAAGATGACTGAAAAAAATGGAATTTTCGACACTATGAATCGAAAAATAGGCAAAAATGAAAATTTCCGGTGTTTATATGGAAACCGCAGCGCACTCTACCGAATCAACGATGATAAAAAGATGGTTTCATGGTTTATTTTTTATTCTCGAGGAGAGAAAACGGGTTTCGTTTTTGTAAATCAGATACAGCTAGCAATAAAAAAAGCCGTTTGTTCGTCGCTACTGGCCATATTTAAAGTTATAACTATCTCGCCGATAATGATAAGGATCTAAGCGTAATAAACCCACTCGAATTCCTGGCCAGCTCGCCAAATTCACAAATGTGGCCTTGCAACGGGGCGTAGTCGAGCTGCACATTGCAGTAGTTGTGGTCGAACTGAAAATGGACTAATTTTGCTGGCTATTCATGCGGGTGAAGATTTCTGCGCCCTTTCAGAACAAGATGTTAAGAAAAAAAACAATAAAAATTACCATGAAAATGTGGTCGTAGAACGAGTGCCCGCCCGCCGCAACGATCATCAGCCCGGTGAGCGTCAGGTGGGA